GATTTTGATATAAAGCTTTCTATAATCTTCGAGGAGACCATATCATCCTGTTTAATTTTTTTTCATCTCACAACAATGAAGTGGGGATGAGTGTTTACAGCCTGTTTCAGCCTGATCTCCCTACAAATATTGTCACTGATGTATTACATATGTACAACACGGAAATGCTTGTAAATTAATATACTTTCAGTCTGATCTAAAAGGGAATAAGAGTGGAATCAATGATATATTAAAACCAAGTTGTACACAGCAGCTGAAATTTTTGTATAAGAGAAGTGTGAACATGTCAGGGGAACTTTTGAATATAGCTGTTCAGATGTGATGGCAGGACTCCTGGAGCCTGTGTAGGCAATTAAATTTAACATAATGCAGTTTTAAGAATGATATGCTGGGGTAATCGTAACCACACTTTAGTTGGAATTAATGTCTCTAACACTAACAATAAGATGACTTGATATGCCAATGTACATTAATTAATGAGGTAGTTAAAATTTTGTTCGTTTTCCGTACCACATTCCTCAGCCCCATAGTTTTCTGGAAATGAATACAAATGATTAGGGATCCCCTTAGGCATTTGTGCATCTTTCTGACTTCTGACCCTGTGAGAATTCCATATAGTTTCTCTGAATACGTTCATCTCCTTTTGAATAACAGGAATGAAGATAAATGCAAGCAGATCCCTGTTAAAAAAAGAATAATTTAACATTTAATAGATAGAAGCTATGTTTTTTTAAATTTTTAAAAAAGTTGTCTATCTACTGTACTAAATAAACACTGTACCTGTCAGACTGGTTATGTGGATCATAATGTCCTCTTTCTAATAGCATCCTCAGTTGCCGTTTGAAGAATTTTTCAAAACGCTGATGCAGCTCACGCCACCACCTTTCAATCTGTATTATTAAAAAACATCCAATTTACATATTATTATTAATTTAAACATCCAATTTAGCCTTGGAAGGTTAGTTTAAATGGAACAAGAGGAGTCCAATTGAACCTGGAATGTTTGTCTAACAATGTTTGTTTTGCTTTTTAAAGCTGTCACATAAAAGGCCTCTAAAGATCCAAGCAACAAACAATTTCACCTTGTTGCTTGTGGAAGGACCATAGTGCACTGTGTCAACAGCATCCTGATTTGCTTGTCCATCTCCATGTGTTTGTCTCAAAAATGCATGAATTGTAGCCATTTGGCCAGTCTCCGTCCCCTTATCTAATCGAAGATTCTTACCGATCACTGAAACATAAAAATGTACAACTTATTTGCACCATTTCATAATTCACAATATTTTCATACAAAAGTACACACCTGCTGTTAAATGTAACAAAAAGTTATCTTCTCCGCTTCATTAGTGACAAACCATTAGAAAAGTGGAGGGGGGGGGGGGTTCAGCTTGCATGAATTGTTTTCAGCCTTCAGCTTGTCAAGGAATTTTTTTGTAGATTTTTTTTTTACTTTTATTTGCTTTCCTCCTTGCAAAATTTTTTCTTTCAATTTTCCCCTACACAATTTGTTTCTGCCCCCCCTCTCATTACCTTTCAGTGGTTTGTCACTTATTAACTTATTAACTTATATGCAGTTCTCATTGAAAATTACCACTAGTCTACAGGTATTAGAATTTTAACGAAAAGTAGTTGAAATTTACTCCACTCAATGGAGGCTTTATCCCAAATTATATCTGCTTAAACTCCCTCATTTTTAAACTGGCGAGAACAGCATTTTGAGTATATAATAATATTGTAAATCATGATTGGCCAATCGGTGGAATTGCATTAGTGTATATTCACACCTCTTGTTTGATAAAGGTGCTCCAAATACCAACGCCCGATTAGTTTAGGATCAGAGTTAGAAGTCCAAAGCTTTAAATACAAAATGTAACCACTGAACGCATCTTGAAGTCCATATACTGCCAAAGGGAAAGTGTAGTTCATGTAATCCATTAGCTTGTCATGTCCGTCGCCAGAGTGAGTGTGGTTGGGTCCCTAAATAAATTTGCAAGACAATCAAATGTCAAGGTTATTGTGGTGTTCATTTGCAATCCACTTGAATGAAAAATATCTTACCAATGATATAAATGTTCCAGTTTGTCCACGGTGACGTTTCTTTCTCCCTACATTACTTCGACGTTCTAGACCTTCTGGGTCAACAAGAGTCATAACGTCATAAACTACACCACGTGGTACAGCTAAATTATGCTGTTCTCGTAACTTTTTGTGCATTGACCTATATCCAAGCAATTGCCCTGGTCCATCAGTTTCCTCTCTGACAGCTGTCTCAACTGCTTCCAAATGAGCCATCCTTCGACTAAGCGTTGTTAAACTCCACGCGTATTGTGGATAATCTCGTTGCACAAAGTCTAAAAGTTCTTTGCGACTCATGTTTTGCAATACGTACCGCTGGATATCCGATTTTAAATCTTCATCAGTCTCCCAATCTGGATTTAGAATTCTGTTATTCATAGTTGCAGTTTTCTATGAACAAATACCCGTCAACTTTCGGCACAAATTCTCTTCTTATAGTTAATATTTCTTCTTTTTTAAATAAAAAAAACTCGACAAATACACAGTCTCACAGAGTTTAGGATGCATGCCATCAGTGATCTCAACGGTGACAATACTTCATTTATGCATATCATTTTGTCCCGAAGGGGGCGGCCGCTGACCAACGATATCCTGGGCTATGGAAACGCTGGGCCATCGCAACATTCGAAATTGATTTTTGACATGTTTCGATGGCCCATCGTTATCATAGCAAAATACAAATCAAATTGAAAATCAAATGTTTTGAAATTTTCAAAGTTGTTTTCTTAATCGGTTTTTTGTTTTATATTTTTTATGTTTTAGTGCCTTTAATTGTTTTTTCAGTTTTTCATAAATTTATGAATTTGTTTTCTGTTCGATTTTTTTTCGGTTTTTTTTCTTAATTTATTTTTTGTTTTTGGTTTAAATTTTACTCAAATACTTTTTCTATATTTTTATGTCATGTATTTTTTTAAATTTTAATTTTATATTGCTTTTATTAATTTTTAACTATTTTTTCACATCTTATTGTAAATAAAACAGGTATATCACTATGGTAATGCTGGGCCACCATACTCTACACTTTTCAGCCTATACATAATGCGCGGATTGTAATCATATTCATATCGTTTCATTTAGCTTCAAAAGCTTATTTTGTTAAATGTAAAATGCGCAGCATGTTGCGTACATTATCAAAGAAAAAAGTTGACTTTATTAGACTGAAATAAGCAAGATTTTCCGTTACATACATGATTTATACTGAGGCGGCTTTGCATGCATGTGCTCTGCCTCTGGCAACGATGACACCATTGCGCTCCGCGGGAACGAACACGAATAACATGTTTTATTGTTTTTTATCAAGTTTTTGAAGCTAAATTAAACGATATGTATATGATTACAATGTGCGCTGAAAATTACGGCTGAAAAGTGTAGAGGTATCATATTCTGTCGAAATAGCAGCGGCTAGCGCGCTCGGTTGGCAATTAGCCCGACATCGCGCAAATCATTTCAGTTTTCAATCGGGAAATCTCAAATCGTAGCAATTTATGGAATATTTCCGAACGCCACATACACATTGTTAGAATATGCTCCTGATATTCTGTTGACAATGATAATAAGATTATTAGTTAATGAATGACATTGATTACTATAGATATGTATGTAAAATGTAATCTCTGGATACCACAAATTCCAGTACAAATAGTTGCTCCATGTACCAAACTGTATACCATTTATGGTAATAGAATGTGATATGTCAAAATACTTATTATAGATATAATCTTGTATATATATGTGTGATTTTTATTATTAAATACATTCTTTTGTAAACTACTCCGAAGTTGTATGTTGTGCTTCGTATTCGAGAAAGAGCGATGGCAACGGTACAAAACCCAACACACATGAAATGTTTCGGTCTAACTTTTTAGGGCCACGAACATATACTAGGTCTAGGAGATAAAATAGCAAAATTTGATGCTCGAGCGTTGGCCACAATTATACTAGGCACTGCAGCGTAAAATTTATAGCTCAATATGTTTGTATCAGACATATGCAATCGACAGGTTATTCGCGACGTTCATGATAGGGACTATAACACTTCCAAAGCTAATAAACCTATAACCTATAACTTAAAGAATACATTTATACATCAAACAATACATTTATACTCTATAGGCTTATTAGACTATACGAAACGGAAACATTTAAATCGAACATTAACATTCATCAAACATTTACTTGTTATACCAGGTTATACAATAGATATCAGCAAGACAAGAAATTATTTTATTACTGGAGATTTGTTGCGTTAAATTTTCCTGTATTTATCTAGTGCATAAATGGAAAAAGTACGAAAAAATATTAAAAATAAAAATAATATCTTCGTGAAAAAATAATATCTTCGTGCGTTTTTAGCACATTTTATGACCCACGACTTTACCCACGACTTTACCCACGACACACGACTTTTAACCCACGACACACCAATCTCGTTCCCCGAGCCTGCGATCCTTGGGAAGGAAACGAAGGCTCTGGGATGATCCATCTCAGACACAGACATACAGAAAACTGTATGTCGACCGAACTGCGCATGCGTTGGCAAAAGCAAAACAAATTGTTTGAAATATTTTATTGTTTCGTCTATAAAATGATGATTTTTTCGGGGTTTTGGCGGAAATGTTGATGTTCTTCATAGTGGGATACAAAATGTGTGTTAGTGACTGAATAAGGAGAATATTGCGTGTGAAACAGGGTCAGTATAGAGCCGGCAGGAGCCGCGAAGAGTGCTGCTGTCGAAGAAAAATGTCACAATTAATTGTAATCTTGTCCATTCACCTCTGTGTCAGTTTAAAAAAGCTTTAAATTAGAGACATTTGTGGTTCCTCCAGCATAATTTAGCCGTTTAACGCTACTATGTTTCTAATGGTTGAAAGAGTCAAAGGGCGCGTGGAAAGGGCAATTTTCAAGAACAAAAACAATTACAATAGTGTGTTGGTACTGTAGTATAACAAACAATTGCTACTGTAGTATTAAAATACCTGAAGAGAGTCTCAATTCTAATATTAAGTCGGTTATAAACCTTGATAATAATAAAGTTTTCAGAAGATTTGTATATCAGAGAAATATTACAAGGAATTTAGACTTATAAAACATATAAGTAAAAATATGAATATATTGAATTCCATGTTTGTATTGTGTTATCATCTCTAGAAATAAACAGTTTATACCCAAATCCTTGTTATATTTTTTAACTACCCTTATAGATTTTCTTATACATATGTTTTAATATTTGCCAGCAGTTTAGTAGGTTAGATGCAACAGCACTTTTCAAATTATTGAATTATAACCAAATTTTGTGTCTGGATAGGAATTACTATTAAAGATTTACAGTTTGTAATGATAGAGTTGGAGCAAGTTAAGCTGCATGCAATGTGCCTCAGTTTGCCCTACTTTGTTATTTTATTTAACACCAGAAATTTTTCTCGTCAAGGGGAAAGTATTGGACTTGGTATTTGAATGGGTTAACCAGTCCATCTGCATGTCTACCTATCTTTAGTTAATTATCTCATTAGATCATGAAGCTACAATGCTCTTTAGTGCACCCCGATTTGGTTATTTCACTTTACTTCTGGACAATATTTCTCATCAATGGCCGGAAATGTACTTGACTTCATGTTGATTACTACCATTAATTAATTAACTACTGTACTAAATAGGACACTCAAGGTTGGAGATATAACAGCAATAGAGGTTGCTATCATTGTAGCATTCAGGGCGTCGCTAGCCCAAATTGTCAGGCATTTGGCAATTTATTTTATCGCAATCGGGAAATTGTTTTCGTGGCCAGCATTTGAATTGGATAGGAAGGGAAAAACTGAAATATATGAGTTTCTGTTTCCCCTCCCCTTCTCAAAGTAAGTATGTGTTGTTTTATAGTGTAAATAACAAGTTTTGATATTGCAATCAAACTGACAGGGTAGTTGTCATGACCATGGTAATAAAAATATTTCTATGGCTCGGCATTTATATTGGGCAATTTTTTATCATTCATCACAAAACCTGCACCCTAGGTGGTTGCCTGCAGGGGGTCATAACCAGGGGGAAGCTGATGAAAATGAATTCTGGTATTGGTGGCTGATCACCATCATTTAATATTTTTTTGTGAATAGAACATTTCTTTAAAAAAAGTATATGAATATATTAAAAATATTTATATGGTCTCCCAATCTGGAATTCATACTTTGTAACATTTGGATCAAAAGGTTTACGACATTATCTTGGACAGAATCCAATTAATACAACCTCGTACAGAGGGCAGGGCTTCTTTCAATTACTGTGTGGACAAGATTAACGAAGGGATTGCCAATTTGGCATATTGTACTACTCAATAAATTGAAATCATTAAATACTTTATGCTACAATTAGCTGTAATATTATACAGTATATTATTGTGTTTTATATGACGTCATAAATTTGACGGGG